ACAAACTCTACTGCCCATCAGCTAGCTACATCTCATATACCACTGAATGTGTCACTGAGCAGAGAAAGAAAAGATGTTCTGTGACCCAACTTAATCATGATGTGTAAAGCTATTTGATAAAGTGCCCTCATGAGAGTTAAGTACGCTTAGTGTGTTCTCTTATTATTCATGACTGTCACACGAATCAGAAGTCATTCTTGTCCAAGAAAGAAAGGCACTGGCAATTTAGTTGCACAGTTGCTAGGGTGCTTTTTAAAAGCGGTTATGTGAAAGGAAAATTCAAAGAAAGCCCAATTACACAGGCTGGTTACCTGCCATCAAGCTGGCTGTGGTTATCTTGTTTCTCTGGTCTTTACTGCTAACAAAGGGCTCATGTACCTTGACACTTATCAGAAAAAGGCACTAATTTTCTTTTCACTTACACATAAGCTATCTCTTCCAGATGAGACTTAAATAGAAGATTAGCATGAAATCTTTGCCCTTTCTTCCATTTCTATAATCTAGAAACCATTCAGTGGATCTGATAAGAGCAGCTTCTTTGCAGTTTGACATTGAGAGGGTACCTTTGAGGGCTATTATGAAGGCCAACCTGTTCTCTAAGTTTCATGGGGAATGAGTTATATTCTGCGACCTGTAATATATTCAAAGGAGCTTGAAGAAGCTTCAGAATCCACACATTCTAAATAGCATAGTTTTTCAGACATTTTTGTAGAGAAGAATATTGTTCATCCTAAAATGCAATCTCCCCCTTTTGTCATTTTTGTTCTAAAAAAAGTTAGGAGAAATTATGTGAAATAAAAAATGCTGACCTACTGGGATGCTCATCCCCAGAATCCAAAGAACACAAGATGCCCAGATGTACATGACAATCAGTGACCATCTAGTTGACATCAAACAATGCCATGTCCATTTTATTTCAGCAAATCCTTCTTATAGCCAGTCATAAATCTGTAGCTATGTACTAGCTTTATGATATAAAGAATAACTTTTATAGTTAAGATCTAAAGTGTTTTAATATTTGGAGTTCAAGCCATAACCACTTCAGGGAAGAAGAGCTTGGCACTCACCCCCTGAAATACCTCTGAGAGCAGTGGCAAAGGGCCAGAAATCAGGGGCAGAAAAAGGGTGGAGATTAGGCTTCCTGATAGTTCCTATCCTTCAGTACCAAAAAGTTTTTTAAATCAACCTTTTGTCTACCTGAGCAAATGTAACAAGATTTTTTTAAAAGGCAAGAATGAATTATGTGAGAGTGACTTTTCTTTATTAGTTATACCAAAACCTGGGGTACAGAATATGCACAATGGACAGTACTCAAAGATTGAAGAGAAGAAAGAAGAAATAAAAGAAATAATCTTAGGTCTAGGAGACTTGTTTCTCAACCAAACAGGAATCTGTGAAATATACCTGAATACTCAGGTAATTAATGCAGACTAAATTTGTCATTGAGCCTCCCCAAAATGTGCCACATTGGCATGTGGATTACTTTGAGCTAAAGTCAATCAAGACTCAAAAGACTCAGGAAGAACTTTTTACTTTCCCCTTAACTACTTAAAAGACTTTAGAAGAGGGTCTGGTCTAGGAAGAGAGCAATCACCAGAGTGTGGGTAAGCAAAGGGAAAAAGCTTGGAAGGGCCTGGTAATCAAATTCCTGTGTCCCACTGTCTCTGTGAGACATGGCAAACATTTGTTTACCAAACTTTTGTTCTTCCCATCTTCCTATGAATTGTCTTCCTCCACTTTGAAGTTTCAGACCTCTAACACCTTTTCCTTAGCTCAGGATGGCTTATACACCACTAGTGCTTGGCTGCCTGTGGATATCATATTCTTATGAGGCTCCTATATGTACAGAATTAAATTTGTTTTTCTCCTGTTAATCTGTTTTATATCAATTTCCCAGCCTAAGAATCTAAAAGGTAGAGAAAAATTTTCTCCTCCTCAACACCATTTATCTGAATAGAACCTGCATCAACCTTCCTATGATTCTGCAGTAGTGATTAGATGTCTTTCATACATGTCATAGCCTCTGCTCTTAGGTTGTGCTCCCTGCTTTGTTGCTCATGATTTTCTACTATATTGATGATCTAACTAGGCATTTCTCAGAACAAATGTAGGCCGTTGTTAAATGAATGGCCAAGTTTAGTAGTTTAGTCTACGGGTATGAAAAATATCTGGTTCTATCTGTAATGTTAGAATGAAAATATCTAATATGGACTAGGTTTTAATGCCTTAAGAATATGAGCCTCTGGGTGCCTGGGTGGCTCAGTCAGTTAAGCATCCAACTTCAGCTCAGGTCATGATCTCGCAGTTCATGGGTTCAAGCCCCATGTCTGAGTGGGTTCTGAGCTGTCAGCAAAGAGCTTGGAGCCTGCTTCAGATTCTGTGTCCCCCTCTCTGTCTCTGCCTTTCCTCTGCTCATGCTCTGTCTCTCTCTCTCAAAAAATGAATAAATGCTAAAAAATATTTAAAAAAAGAAAAAAAGAATAAGAGCCTCGAATTGCCTTCACTGACTTAACCATCCTTCAGGGCACAGTCATTTTCAAATCTTTAATATAACACTTGAGAATATTAATGATAAAAGAGTTAATCATGTTTTAGTTCGGTAATAAAAAATTAAATCTACAAAAGTGAAACTCAAAAAGAAATAGTAAAAATGTGAAGATCACTCCCCAGAGACACAGGGTAACATCAGGGAAAAGTCCTTGAATTCAGAATTAAAAGTTTTGGTTCTGGGACTTAGTTTATTTTCTTTCTTTCAAAAAACATGTATTGAGTGCCTACTTATGCCAAACTCTTCCAAGTCTATAGTTGGATGGATATAGTTGTGGACAAAACAGATGTACTCCTTGCCTTCCAGGAGCTAGTAGGACATTAAAAAAATCACATATTTAATTGCAATTATAATAAGTACCGTAGGGAAAAGAACAAGGTATAATTTAAAAATTCAGGAGGGGCACCCGGGTGGCTCAGTCAGTTGAGTGTCCACTTCAGCTCAGGTCATGATCTCATGGTTCATGAGTTTGAGCCTCACATCAGGCTCACTGCTGTCAGCACAGAACCTGCTGCAGATCCTCTGTCTCCCTCTCTCTTTGCCCCTCCCCCCCTTGTGCTCACTCTCTCCCTCTCTCAAAAATAAATAAACGCCTAAAAATATATAAATAAATAAAAATGCAGGAAGGATGTACACCAAATTGGAGGGTTTAAGGGAAAGTTTTCTTGAGGAAGTGATTTAAACTGAAGGTTATGCAAGAGTTAGTCAGGCACCCGAGTAACAAAGACCTAGGGGTGGGGTGCTAGGAGAATATTTTGATCAAAGAAAACAGTACGGTAAAGGTTTTAAAGCAGGAACAAGCTTGGCATGTCTGAACAACAGAGAGGTTCACAGGGCTACAACATGGCATGCAAAAAGGAGGGTGGATGTTAGAGATATAACAGGCTTAGATAGCAGAGACTTGTGGGCATGTTAGGAAGAAGTTATTGAAGCAGGAAAGGGTTCTAAATACAATGATAAAATTTATCTTTCCGAATGCTTACTCTGGTGGGAATACAGAAATAGAGTTAAAGATAAGTGGTTTAAAAAAAAAAAAAACTACAGGAGGATTTGGTGTTGAACTAGAGTGGGCACAAAAGAAGATTAGAGATATATGTTAAAGATAGAATCCAGAGGACTTGGTGACAGGTTGGGTATGGGAGGTCAGAGAATAGAAAGGAATAATTAGGGAATGCTCCCAGATTTATGGCTTGGGCAACTGGGTAATGAAGTGGGATTTACTGAGTGATAAAAACTGGAGCAGGAAGAAACCGCAGAAGGTACAAAGAAAGATGAAAGCTTCTATTTTGCACGTTAAGTTTGTGATGTGAACAAGACATTCAAATAGAAACCCCAGTGGGCTGTTAGGTATGTGAGCCTAGAGCTCAAGCAAAAGTCAAGTCATTTATCAGTTGTGAAACTTTGGATGAGTCATCTTGTAATTCTGAGCCTCAGTTTCCTTATCTGGCAAATGAGAACCAACAACTGCCTGCCTCAATAGGATGGAGGGAAAGATAGATGAGGCAGCATCTATGAGGGGTCTCTCAACTGTATAGGCTGTATAGACATGCAGTGTGTTTGACTGGTGAAAAATAACTTCATGTTGGAAAGGGAATGTGAAGAGCATATACTAACTTTTAATATTCTGTGTGTCTCTATTGGCAAATATACACAAATTTATGGAGAGAGAGAGAGGGAGAGGAAGGAAGGAAGGAAGGAAGGAAGGAAGGAAGGAAGGAAGGAAGGAAGGAAGGAAGGAAGGAGGAAGGAAGGAAGGGGGGAAGCAAGGAAAGAAGAAAGGTAGGAAAGAAAGCAGTGGGATAATTTAAGTGTTAATTTTGTATTTTTCATATAAATTCTTCGGAAGAAATATGTTTCTTGGGCATATCATCACAAAGGCTCTCTAGTCCTTTGGCAATCCTCACCTTGATAACTGTGCACCTTTTTGTTTCCTCAAATACTTCCTAACTGGGATATTTCATAAAATATTTCATCAGTCAGATAAGTTGCAAAGCACATATTTCCTACTGGCATGAAGATATATAGGGTATATATTACATAGATAAATAAACCAATTGACAATTTGTTTCAGTTTGACTCAGGATCTAACTTTTGCAATTTATTTCTATCCATTATTCTACCCCTAAACCAATTTAAAAGTCTTCAGTTAGTTCTACTAATTGCTAAAGTAACAAAGTGTCCAGTTATATAGTCTTTCTAGAATATACATTGATTTTTTTTTAAGCCCTTGTGATCTCAAGAAGTTCTCATGGAGAACTGGGTTGGCTGGCTCTCGCTTTTTGGGAACACTCAACTCCCAGTCATTGCCCTCTACACTTCAGTGGAAGATTTTCTAAAATACCTATTTTCTGCTTTCTAGCCTTTTATAACAAAATTCAATCAATTGGCTTTTGGGTTTTTCATGGTACTCTTACCCTTGATCAAAATAGCAAGCTTTCAGATTCCTGTTTCAGCAAAGTTTTATTTATTCTTCCTCACTCAACTCCTATAGCTTGTCCTGAAGGTCTCTCCTTGGCTTTAAGTTGTAGGTCCTTTGGCTTTCTCAAAATGACATTTATATCAAAGGGGTCCTTCCTCCTTCAACAGAGTATACTTCAGTTCTCACATATTGTGGAATATCCACATACTGTGGAAGCAGTTTTCATTATAGTCTTAGGACTTGTAGAGCTCTTTGAATGATCTGAAGGATATAAATAAAATAATCTAGTTTGATCCTTAGATTTACTACACGAAGAAGGAAAAGCTAAAGAAAATTTTAATGAAATTGGAGAAAAAATATAGAAATAAGGATGGTGCCCTTTTTAGAGTAGAAAATTTCAAAGTGAGAGGTAGAAATGCACTAGAGTTACTGTAAGATTTTTTTAAAGCATTATACAGTGTGCAATATATGAGATTCCACTAGAATAAACAAATCAAATTACTTTTGATTAAAAAATAAAGCTATTTTATGGAGTTGCTTGAGAGTACTTGAACTTCCCCGATGAAGACAGGTGAGAAGAATCACAGAGGTCAAGCTCAATTCTGCCATCTACTGCTTAGCAAGCAGAAATCATGGCTGGTTGAGACCTACATCTGTTCAGCCCCCACCCCCCCGCGCCCCCTCCCCTCACTGTTAGAGCATCAACACCCATTTAGAGAAAGATGAGATAGAAGCCACTGAGATAATTCCTAGGAGATGCAACAAGACTTGTATCAACAAATAACAGATACTGGATTCAATTTAACCCAGTAAATAAACCAAGACAGGGTTTTAAATATATCTATATCTAATATATAACTAATTGTATTCTACCCCTTTTAAAAGCTTCAGCACTACTGGAGCAATAACTCAGTCTATATAATGTCTCTGAATGAGCAGCAACATGGTGGAAAATCAGGTGTACTTTTTTAGTTTCCTCAGTATCTCATGGATCTGAAAGAGACAAATGATCCTCTCTTTACTCACTCTTTAAGGGAAGATGAACCTTTAGATGCTGGATGAGGGAAGTAGGAACAAGCATTTTCAGCTCCTTTATTCCTGAGCAATGCTATTTTTAAAGGACAAAATATAGAAAACATAATTTGAAAGATTGTATGATTTCACCTCCCTGAAAATATGACTTTCATATTAAATTCTTCCTTGAGTCCTATTTTGACAACAAAAACTCAAGCATCTTATATTTGTAGTCAACAATAATAGCTCTTCTTAGATGGACTAAAGGACAAAGGATCACATTTTCTTTTCTTTTTTTTTTTTTTTAATTTATTTCTAGGAGAGAGAGAGACAGCATGAGCAGGGGAGGGTCAGAGAGAGAGGGAGTCACAGACTCTGAAACAGTCTCCAGGCTCCGAGCTGGCAGTCAGCACAGAGCCCAACGCGGGGCTCGAACCCACAAACGGCGAGATCATGACCTAAGCGAAAGTCGGACGCTTAACCGACTAAGCCACCCAGGTGCCCCAAAGGATCACATTTTCTATTTCCATCTCTAGATTCCTAGTTCTGATAGTGAAAAGGCACACTGATAAACTGTAGCTTAGTAATTTTTCAGTTACCATGTATTGATGATCTCTTGTCAGTTGCCCAGAAATTAAAAAAAGAAATTTAATGTTTATTTTTGAGAGAGAGGGAGGGAGGGGCAGAGAGAGAGGGAGACACAGAATAGGAAGTTCAAAGCTCTGAGCTGTCAGCACAGAGCCCAAAGTGGGGCTCGAATCCAGGAACTGCAAGATCATGACTGAGCGGAAGTCAGAGCCTTAACCAACCAAGCCAGCCAGGTGCACTTAAACATGGTTAGTTTAATCCTGCTCTTCACATACTAAAGGGCAAAAGGTTATTAGTTACTAAGAACTTTTTCAATCTCTAAGTAATAATCCGTTTATACTAATCCACACTGCCCTTCTGCCTGAAGCACCTTCCTCCTTAAACCTTCCAACTCATGCTTCAAGACCTTGCTCAGGTATCACCTTCTCTCCAAGGCTGGCCTTAACCAATCTCCCTTTCAGAATAAATGTTTGTTTTCATCGGTGTTTCAATAGTAGTTTACCACATTCCTTTTTATCACTCTTCAATGCTTATTTGTGTGTCTAGATTCTCAACTGGACTGGGGACTCCTTAAGGGGAAAAAATCATACAGCATTCAACTTTAGAGCTCCAATGTCTGTAATGGAAGTATCTGATCTACGAACTATACTGGATTTCAAAGCTACAGGTGGCATACTGACATTAACTAATATTATACTCCACATATCTAAAAAAACAGACCTTTCCAGATCTCATATGTTTATTTCAGAAGGTTCAACACACAACACAATTGGCAGGTGCCAATCCAAAGGTAGACACATAATCAAGGAAAGAGACATTGTGCCATACACTGATTGGGAACTGAAAAAATTAAAGAATTGATCCACTTACAAATTATGTTTCAAAAAAGCAAAACTGTTCCATTCAAGTTCCCAGCAAATAATAATAAATATTTAAATAAATCAAGGTGCATTAATGTTTTAAATATTTTGTCCTTTATCATTCATTGTATAGCTTTGGGTGAACTGAAGGAATTAGCAAATTTTTCTTTTTCTCAAATCTCAAACACTTGTCAGTGTCTCTGCTAAACAGATTTTGATTATACTATCAAATATTAGAGTCTTGTAGTTAGTGTCTTTCTCAGCAGAATTTAGAAAGCATGGTATTCAGTGTAAAATACCAACTCCCAGGTAAGATAAAAGACAAAGCCTTTTATGCGTCCTACCTCAGAGGAGTCTAGAATTCTTACTTTTACTTTCTCCTGACCATGATGAATGGGGGGACTTTTTTTGCTTTTTTTGATTTTGCTTAAATCTCTTAATTTTTTATAAACTCTGAATCTAGTATTCACCAACTCAAATTTTAAAGTATATTTACTCTTATCCTTGAAACCACAAGTCTTTTTTCCATTGTTTCCTTAAAGTTTGCTTTGGATTATCATTAACACTAGGTGCTTAGAAGTTCATTTGGCATTTACCCCCACATTCTCATGAAGATTTAATTTTAAAAGCTTGGCAAACATATGCTTTCTCCAAAATGCAGTGTACCCATATGTGTTTATTAAGTCAGTTACATTTCTGAAAAAAGTACAGAATTTCATGGCAGCTTCCTTGGTAAATTTCCGGTAGTCATCATGAAATGAAAGATGGTAGAAGAGGTGGGGGAAGATTAGCAAATAGTTGGGGGGGAGAATCACAGGTTATCACGTATTTGAAAGGAATAATCCTCAAGATTCAAAATCTTCACAACTCTTATTGTCCCTGTGCGCTCTCGTGAAAACAGTCTGGGTGAAGCAGAAGCCAGTCCACAATGGTCCTGAATAATTTGCATTCTTATGCTGGAGAGCAGCCAATTACCCTGGGACCAAATTCCTGTTTACTTTGTAGTGAATGTGGGAGACAAGCTGCCTGCCGGTAGCTGTTAAGGCAGTAAAAACACAGCCAGAGGCTGTCACAAGGAGGAAATCACAGAGCAAGTTAATTTGTGAACTTCAAGGACAGAGATTAAACACTGTGTAATGAAGCTCAAATGGTGGCTTTGCATGAAAGGAGAAAAAACAGGGCTGAGAAGCCCCCTTAGGAGTTTGGTAAAATATTTGCACAATGACTGGCATATCACTGTTCTCTTTCTTATAATCAGCAGCCTTCAAAATCTGTTTCCAAAAAAGTTATTGATTCATTATTAGGCAGAAATCCAAGTTTGTTTCATTCTGAATCTCCCATTCTCCCTGATAGACCTGGTACAGAGAGGATTAAAACCAAATGAACAGTATTTGGGGTCAAATTCTGAGCAACCCAGATGGAATTTGGAAACAGGATAGTTTGTTCCACTATTATGCTACACATATGCCAATAAGTTGTCTAGGAAACTTCCATATGCAGTGTTTCAGGGCCTCAAGACTGCTTTGAGGCCTCTTATTTGCATATAGACCTTGACCAAGGGGGAAAATGAGAACTGCCAAATCCATTAGTTTGCCCATATCCCTAAATAGTGTAGTATACTGTTATATTCCATAGCTAACCATGTAGAGGTAACTCTTCAAGTCCAAGGAATTACACAGTGACTTTTGATTTACTAGGACCTCACTATCACATCCACAGGTCTCTAGGCATGATTTTTATGGTTCTTTGGACATAACGTTGATTTAAACAACAACAACATTGGATAGAGTATAGGATGATAAAACTAATCTTTAAATGCTATGGTTAGTCATATATTGCTGTTGCAACATGGTGGAGAATGGAATGCATCTACCATGTGTCTTATTTTGGAAGACTTTGGAGGTGTTTTTCAATGTTTTATCAGAAAAGATGAAAAATAACCTGCCAGGTCCAGAATCCAGAAGCTTTATCCATTAGCATTTTAAATCTAGTCAAATGGAATGTACACAGGGACTGGGAGGTCCAGGTGTCTGGAAAAGAAGAGCTTAGAGCACACTAACAGGATACTCAAGTAACTATAAAAACTTACGGCCTTACAAGGAAGCAATCTTTTAAGACTATGTTGTGTCATCATTTTGTATTTAGAATTATCAGTTCAATTATGTCTCTTTTTTCATCCTTTGGTTCAAATTTTATTTCCCTTCTTTGAGACAATAATGCAACTATTCAGATAATTAAGCAATCTTGCAGTTTTTTTCAAAAGTATTCTTTTTTTTAGTTTGCATAATTTTTTCTCCATGGTAATTTCAAAGTGTCCCCAGATCACAACCAGTGGGGGAAAAGTCAACTAAGTTTCCCAGTATGGAAGCCCAACATGCTGAACTGTAGTCGAAACTCTTCATTTTTTTCTTTCTCTTTCCCTCTCCAAATCACACAGTATATTTCTGGTGGCAGTGATTCCAAAGGAACACGGAAGGGCATGTTTGTTCTTGGCATCACTTTCAGAAGTTAGAGGTGTCCTAGTCTCCATTTGGAGCCAACTGTAGATGTCATACATGAATTTATCTTAACCCTTTTTGTTTTTGGTAGGCTGTTTCTAGTTTTAGCTTGTGACACCTTTTGAGATAATGAGTTCTATGTTCCATGTAAGAGAAAAATCATTTATCTTCTACAGATAAATAGGCAGGGAAAGAAAAGATCCGGGGTCTGGTTTACTGTCTGAGGGAGTCACACTTAGATCTGACCTTGAAACAAGAGACTCTGAACAGCAGAGGGATACTGCTCTGTAATTTTCGGTTC